CAGGACCTATCAGGTAGCCTCCCAGGCAGCCTCTCAGATGTGGCCGCATGCACCTGCTGTGTGTCTTGGGGTCAGGGTTTGGCCCACCCGTAGTCTGGCTTCGTCTCCTCCCGCAGGTGTCTAGCGTGTCTCTCTATAGCACACCAGCCTTGGCTTCTTACCTTCCTCCCCATGCCAGCCATACCAAGCCTTAGCTTCTCTTTCTTTTTCCACCTGCATGTCTGCTATGGAGACCCTGAGGGTCCCTCCCACTCCAGCTTCACCCACATGCCTCAAGCCCGATTTCTGTGCCCAGCACTGTACCACATGCAGCACCTCATCCATTTCCATGCCAAGCCTGGGTGAGGTAGTTGTCATCATTCCTTCCCTTTCCACCTGGAACCTAGAGAGGTTTCATCCCTCGCCCTGTGTGGTTATATAAGCAGGCCGTGACTGCAGTGTGGTTTACACCTGCTCTCCAGAGCCAGCATCTTCCCCTACGCACACCCCGTCCCTGGTCCAGGTTGTAAAAACGAGACCACAGAGAACTGCCAGAGTTCTTCCCTGTGGTCATCTTTCCCCTGGTCCCAAGGTTTTGGCTTAAGCTGCTACACAGCCTCACCCAGGCACACACACACGCGTACAAGAGCTGGGCAAGGCCAGGATATGGTCTATGCACTTCATACCTATTCCGTCAGCCTACACATCTGGTTGTGCCAGCCCTCCGTGGCTTGTCAAAGCACCAGCCGTGCTGACTAGGGCTGACTGGTGGCTGTATCCCTAACGCCACCTGCATCTGGTTCCCCTTTGCTGAGGGTCCCTGCCTCGTTTGCACGCTCTCTTCCCTCTGGTGTGTGTGCCTCTGTCTGCAGTCAGCAGTGGACACCTGTTCCCAGCTGGCAGCATGGCACCTGTTCCAGTCAGGCACCCTCCAGTGCCCAATTGCATACCTCTCCCATATGTGGCACTTGTTCTATGAATACCTCTCAGTTCCTTGGCTCTGCCTGGCCCAAGGAATCATGACAACAAGGTTCTCAAAACTTTCATTGCCACAGTTGCCTGTGTCCAGCCTTCTGTCCCAGCCCTGTATCTACCTGCTCTTCCTCCCTCTTCCCTTCCCTCTTCATGGTGCCAGGATCCTTGGCAGGGGCCGTGGGTACACTGGCTTCTGCCAGATAGGCATGGTTCCCACCTCCTCTGCCACATTGCCAGCACTACCCACAAGCCGAGTTGCACACACTATAAACGTCATGGCTTCAGCTGTCCCGGGGGAAGAGCTTGAGGCATGAGGTCATGGGGTTCACTCATCTGCCAGGGCAGAATCGAAGGCACCCTGTGCAGGTGGCATTCACTGCATCTCCTGAGAATCACCTCACAAAAGGCCATTGGTGTGAGGAGTGCAGAGTTCCAGGGAGGAGTGGGGAGCTCTTGAGGGTCGGCACCCCTGGGTTGGAGGTGGCTGACTGGGGGTGGCCAAGGAGAGGCAGCTGTGGCTGCTGTCCTGGGGGACACCAGCTGGCTCAGCCTGCAGGCCAGTGGGGTGATGCCACCACCAGCCCGTTGTTGATTCAGGTGGCTGGTGGGCTTTGCCATTCCCGTGAGGGGAATAAAGTGTACTGCTTCTCCGGGTTCTCAGGGCGGGCTTGCCTGAAACCCTCCTTTTTGGAAATGCCAAATAATGCCTCCTCACTGACACCAGAAAGGGGCTGGGGGACTATAAATCAATGTGAAGGGGCTCTCTAGGGCACTAGAAACCCCAAGACCTGAGGGGCCGCTCTTTGCCTCACAGTGAGCACGCCACGCCCACTGATGTGCGGTGTTTAGGAATCCAGTGAGATCTTCTGTCTAATAGTAAGGATACTTAGGCCCAGCCAGCCAGTCCACCCAGAGGTGCCAGCACCTTTAGAAGAGCCCTAGGGCCAGCCCTGGGCCACAGGTGTGGACACCCCTCAGTCTGCTCCTCAGAGAAGCCTATGGATCTGGCCAAAGAGTCAATGCCTGCATCTGCCATATTGGCCTGGCAGAGTTTCTGCAGAGCACTTTTTACTAGTTGATGTTTTCTTGTCTATTTCTTTGTCTATTGCCTATTTCCCCCTCATGGAGGGTGACCTTCACCGGGGCAGGATCCCAGCGGCCTTGCTCACACTTGAACCTTCAGTGCGGCACTGAGCACGTGAATGCCTTCATAGAAAGGCAACACATTGAATCCCTGCACCTGCTGGGCTTGGTGATCTGTGCTAGGCTGTGAGAGCTACAGATGGGGCATCCACAGGTGCTGCTCCCAGCAGGTGTTTATGGATTGCGGAAATGCTCAAACCCCACTAAGAGGCCAGGAAACTTTCCCATCAGTCACAGAAAGAACTCAGCTCCTATGAAACAGCCCTTATCTCACATTCCTGTCTGCTTATCAAGCAGCCATGCCCCAGGCTTTCTCCACTTAAGGCGGTGCTTCTCAAACTTGAATGTGTATGCAGAGCATCTGGGGATCTTGTTAAAATATAGATCCTGATTTGGCAGGGCTGAGTGGGCCTGAGAATCTGCATTTCTAGCAAGCACCTGTGTGATGCTGATGCTGCTAGTCTCTACACCACACTTTGAATAGTGAGGATTTATGAGAGTCCAACACTTCTGTATTTTCAGCATCTATGCATGTCCTGTCATGTATCCTGAAACCAGACTGCAGGTACGCTCTGGCTTTTTGACATGCTTGGCACTGCCGAGAGCTGTCTCTGTGCTGGGATCCTCTCCTGGTGTTCTTAGCGATCCAGCAAGTGAGCTGAAGGAGCAAAGGCCAGGAGGTTGTGTGCTGGCTCCACTTCGCCACCTTTTTGTTTTTTTTTTTTTTTTGAGACAGAGTCTCGCTCTTGTTACCCAGGATGGAATGCAATGGCGCAATCTCGGCTCACCGCAACCTCCGTCTCCTGGGTTCAGGCAATCCTCCTGCCTCAGCCTCCTGAGTAGCTGGGATTACAGGCACATGCCACCATGCCCAGCTAATTTTTTGTATTTTTAGTAGAGACGGGGTTTCACCATGTTGACCAGGATGGTCTCGATCTCTTGACCTCGTGATCCACCTGCCTCGGCCTCCCAAAGTGCTGGGATTACAGGCTTGAGCCACCGCGCCCGGCCTCGCCACCTTTTTGTAGTGACCTTGGGCAAGTCGCATTCTTGCTCTGGGCCTCAGTTTCCTTTCTGTGAAATGAAAGGTTAGGCATGAGTTCTTAGGTCCATTCCAGCTGTAACATTCTATGGAAGATAAGCCACTTGGTCCAGTATGTTTCATGCACATCCATGTATGTTAACTCACTTAATCCTCATAACAACCTATAGGAAAAGTGCTGGTACTATCCCCATTTTCCAGGTGGGAAACTGAAGCAGAGGAGTTCCAGTAATGTGCCTGAGATCTCAGGTCTAGCAATAGCAGCAAGAGAGGTGAACCGGTTTCCTCCAGAATCCATGCTTTTACTCATTACACTTGACCTCCTGATAACGCCTATCAGGAGTGACTGAGCACCTAGGAAGATCACTCATTCTGGGCATTCTTAAAACAAGACCTCTTTCTCATGGACGTTAGCTCTCATAGTTAATTCTGTGCAAGTTAGAGAGGCTGGCTTAGCCTAAGCGCCCCGGAACACTCTGAGCCCTTCCAGCACTGAGGATCTGGCATGCAATGAAATGCCATAAGAATGGCATGGCTGATGGTTTCAGAGCCAGGTTCATTTAACAAGCACCTATTGGGTTCTCTGGGCAGCCCCTGTAGGAGCCTCAGGAGCCGCAATGTCTGGGTGTCACTGCCTGGATATGCCCACGTCCCCTGGCTCTGCACTGTTGGGTCTTCCCTCTAGGATGTTAGTAGCATCCCCCCGGGCTGGAGGGTTGTGCCTGGCAATAACTGAGCTTTTATACTTCCTGCATCGGTCTGTTAAAGAAAGAGGGAAAGCAAACACATCCACTATTTTACATGGTTCCTTCCTCAACCTCATAAACAGGGCCCAAAGGAGAGCATCACATTAAAAAATTAGATGCCCATGGAAACCTTAGTATGAGGGCCAAAGTTGGATCTCAATGCAGTCAAACCTCTTTAAAAATAACTAGAGGAGAGGAGGCACCTCTAAGGTGGTCGACAGTTCTTCTTGACTCCCATTCAGTGTTCACCTTCTCTAGGAAGCTGCCTGGATGCCTCCACTCTCCTGCTCTCAACTCAGGAAACCTCACCTTTGCCATTTACAGAGCCTGACATGGTTGGTCCATCCCCAGTTACAGTTGCCGTCTCCCCAACCCAACCCAGGTCCAGAGCCCCAGGGATACCTAAAGCCTTTCTTTCTGTAGCATTGGACTTAGACAGTCGGGAGGTACTCAGCAGTGTTAATTGACTGAAATGCAGCCTTGGCCCTCTCTGGTATGAACCAGGTCTAATTTGCCAAGTAAGGGGTCATTTAGTGAAACTGTTTTTATGGGTAAATAGAAAAGTCTGAAGCCAGACTATCAATTTTCTATGTAAATGATGCTTTTAAAGTGCCAGGGAATGGTTTATGGTCATTAGAAAAGCAGACTGAATTTTTTTTTTTTTGGCCACCTCTTCTAAAATTGCTTAAAAAGCCCCTCTTTCATTAACTGAGCTACTACTGGTTCACATGTATGGGATGAGAGTCAATAGAATTCATTAAGATTCTTCAACACTGGGTAAGGCTGGGCTGTATACAAAGGACAGAAAAAGAGCCTGGTGTCCTGGTGGCCTAGAGACTTGGCCATGTTATTAATAGAACAGCTATGGTAGTTCGGGCAGTATTTCCTGTAGTTGGACATCCTGGCACTGAGCTGCCCTGGAAATGCTGCCTGGGGACCTGGCACCAGTGCCCTGCCCAGGACTGGACACAATCTCTAGCCCCAATCACTTGTTGGATGATTTCTCAGCCTGTCCGTTGTGTCTCTGTGCTCTGAGCGAAGATGGCTGCTAGCTGCCTCCTGCTTGTCTTCAGGGTGCTTTAATGGATCATCTTTTTAATTTTTTTCCTCCTTAGGAAGTTTCTAAAAACCTCACTAAGGAAAACGAACAAATCAAAGAGGACATGGAAGAAATTCGAACCGAGATGAATAAGCGAGGCAAAGAAAACTGCTCTGGAAACATCCTAGATAGCGTGCCAGACATCCGCTCAGCCCTGCAGAGGGACGCGGCGGCAGCCTACGCCCACCCAGAGGTACGGCCCCAGCCTCCAAGGGGCTCTGATCACAGCCCTGGAAGTGTGACACCAGCATCTCTCCTCTGCATAGAACTTTTCAGGGTTCAGTCCTTTCACAGAGAGGAGCTTACTTCATCCATACAATAGTTCTGTAGCTTCCGTAGGTTTGATGAGCAGTTGACCCTGTTTTACTTGACACTGAAGCCCCAAGAGGTTGGGCGAGTGTTGAAGCCAGAGCTGAAGTCTGAGTCTGAGTCCCAGCCCCCATTGTTTTCACAATCTCATATCCCACCTTTGTGTGTGAACATCTCTTGTGTTTGTGAATAGGGAGGACATGCATGCTGTCTTGTCTAGGACCATCCTGCTTTACTCCTGCTGTCTGCCGTGACTTTTTTTTTTAAGAGACAGGGTCCAGCTCTGTCACCAAGGCTGGAGTGCAGTGTTGTGATCATAGCTCAACATTTGCAGCCTCAAATTCCTGGGCTTAAGTTATCCTCCTGCCTCAGCCTCCTGATTAGCTAGGACTGCGGGGACATGCTACCATGCCTGGCCAATTTTTAATTTTTTTTTTTTGAAATACAGGGTCTTGCTATGTATTTTTTGTAAACACGGCTGGTCTCGAACTCCTGGCCATAAGCAATCCTCCTGCCTCAGCCTCCCAAGTCACTGGGAGGACACGCGTGAGCCACTGTACCTGGCCCTGGCATGGTTATTAATGGCACCCTCTTTTACTCTCAAAAATGCCCCAGTTTGGAAACAAATTATATTCCCTCCCTCCTCAATTATAGGAGACTTTGTAATTTACTACATATTTTCATCACTATGCCATGTGGCCGTCATCACAGCTCTAGAAAAGCAGGCCAGACAGAGATCAATATCCTCATTTTACAGATAAGGAAATCGATCCAGTTCTAGTCCTGTTCTCCCTCATTCAGTTGGGAAGTGGTGGCAGAGATAATCCAAAACAGTCTCAAACCTCTGTTTCTTCCCACCCAGTTGTGTCCCTAGCACGAAGTTACCCACGAATGGAAGGCTGTCTAATGTGATTTGAGTGATACCGAAAGACCCACTTGCTTGAAAATGCCTCCCCATTTGGTGCCTGCTTCTTTTGGCTCCAGCTCCTACTAAGTTATGTTTATGTACTAAAGGTTAAATGTGTTACCATTTAATGTATTGGGTTGTTTACTGAATTGTTGTTTAGGAAATAGGCATTGATTTGGGAGATAATCCAAAAGAGTGGAAGAGGAAACAGGTAAGCTTGGTGGCGGGACTTGAAGAGTCCTATCAGCAAGGCACACTATTAGCAAGATAGGTCTGGATCAAGTGGGCAGCCAGGGGATGGCAGCATTTAAGAGAGACTTTGCTTACTTGAACTGGTTACCAGGGGTTGATGGCAGATGGCAGAGTTGTGGCACACTGGTTTCCAGGGAGTGAGTTCCAGGTGGGTCACTGAGGGGTCCCCTCAGCTTCGGGGAGTTGTTCTGAGTGTGGGTTGAGCAGGGCATGAGACAGCGGAAGCTCCTGAGCTGGTTTCTCTGTATGCTGTGGTGTGGAGGACTTTGGGGAAGCATTGCTATGCAGGACTATGTTGCCTGGACCATTGAGAATTGGGATGAGAGAGGAAGGAAGGCTGGGTGTGTGGGCTTGAAACTCTTGGGTAGGGCAGTTCATCAACGCGGTGACAGACAGGCAGCGGCTGGGGTTTGGGGATCTTGGGCACACATGTTCCAAAGGCAGGACTGCAGGCAGATTAGGGCTTTTGAGGCAACAAGCCCTGAAAAGAATATGGTGCCTCCACTCTCCCCAATAGGTAACTCAAAATAACAATTCCAAACCATAAACTAGCCATAAGAAAGGCCAATAATTTTCTGGCTTTGCCCATGATGACTACTTTGGTGCTTTTTTGGAAACATCATATTTCTTCAAAAATTATTTTGATTCTCATTTTGGGTGTCCCTGACATGCTGGCTACTGAGCACATGTTTGGTCTGCTTAGTGGGGCATCTCTGAGTGGGTCTGAGCTCATAAACCAAGAAGCCAGAAGACATTTGGGCTGGAAGGGAACTTGAAGTCTCCCACTCATTAAACCTGGGGCACAGTGTCTCTTATGTCAGCCCACCTGGCATCAGCAGCCCAGTGCCCGGTGGAACCAGGCGTCCCTTGCCTGCTCTGGCTTCCAGTTTCCCATTCGACTGAGCTTAAGAATGCATCTGTGGTCTTGATGACACATTATGTGGTATGTTCGGGAACCCAGCTCAGATTTCCTGAGGGCAAACAGCAAACCAAATCAAATACACCAAACCCCTTTTCTCCTTGCTCAGCAAAGTCCCTTCCCCTCCTCCAGTCCCCATTCATCACACTGCTGAAGTTAGCACAATCCTTCCCCACCAGGGCGGTGGGGCAGAAAGGGGAAGTGGTACCAGAGGCTCCGAGGCAGGATCTTGCCATCCCTCTCTTCAGTGAACCCCATGCCAAAAAGTGGGTGGAAGGGACACTGGGTTTGGTTGTTTATTTTCAGGGTTCCTGTAGGTGATGTCAGAGCTTTCTTGGAATGGTGAGGGGTAATTTGTTGAGGGCTTCTCTCTAAGATGGTCTTTGCCTGGAGGGTTGGCACGGGGCTCTGAGGGCTGGGTTGGGAGTAGAGAGAGGAGGGTGGGAATGGGAACATTCGACTCCAGGAGCTGAAGTCATACGACAGACTCTTGGATTCACAGAGAAAGGAAATCGAAGCTTGGTGGGGGCTGCTGCCGCCCCGTGCAGCCTGTCGCCAGTGGATCTGAGGAAATTATATGTTCCCTGGCAAGGGCTGTCCATGGTCTTGCACCATCTCCTTGGCTGGGAGAAGGCACTGCAGTTCCCACCCTTCCCCAAGAGCCTGGAATTAAAGACAGTTTCTGGGGTTTGCGGCGAAGAAATGACAACCTGCTTTTGCAATGCAGAGGGAGACCAGGGTCCGGTAATTAGATGCCCTTCGGCGTCTGAGTCACGGGCTGTGGCCAGGGTCTCCTGACAGCCTGCCGGGCTGCTCTTCCCAGTGGGAAATGAGGGATCTCCCAAGTCTGCTGGGTGGAAGCCAGACCACGGCTTGGAGGACTTGGGGAGGCAGGCAAGTTTTTGGATGGCAGGCAAGTTCATCTTGTGGTCACAGCTGCGGGCAGAGGGCTTAATGGAAGGAAGAGGCAGGGCTGAGGGCAGGCAGCCTGGGGCCAACCTGAGTTGTGTGACTTGAGAAGTGCTCCTCTCAGCCACTTAACTGATTGACTTTAACCAAGTTGCTAAACGACTCTGAGCCTCTGTTTCCTCATCTGTAAAATGTGAATGATGGCATCTACCTTCCCCATTGTTGTAAGGGTTAAAAATAATACAAAGGGATATGGCCATAATAAGTGTTCATTAAAATATCATCTCCAGCAGCCAGATATCGCCTACAGCTGAGGTGGAGGTTACATCACCAGCAAGGTGAAGGAATTGAGGGAGAGGCAAGGAGCCAGAGTGGGGGGCTGCCCCAGGCACAGCCGGGCATGTCAGCCTGTTTCCCCTGGGCAGAGAAAGCAGGCTGGCAGAAGGGTGTCCCCTGCCTTCAGGAGTCGATCACCACTGTGTGCTAGGGAGGGAAAGATACGCGAGCCCATTGGTTGTGCCATCCAGACGAACTCTCTTGTCATGAGAAAGCAGGCACAGGCTTGGGGGTGTTCTTGGGGGTAATGAAGACTCGGGGCTTTCTACATGCCAAATTGTAAAGATCAGAGCAAGAGCTTGGTTGGCTTCTTTCTGTGCAAAAGGAGCACATTGGTCATGGTGGCTGAGTCCCTACAGCCAACATGGAGTGGCTAAATGCCCTGCCCTGCCTTGGGGCACCGGGCATCCAGAAACACAGGTTGAGCTTCCACATGGGCTCTGCTCTCTGGGTGGCTTCCGCCAAGGCCAAGAATTACAGGATTAAAAGGAGCTCATTCCCCTCCCCCTGGTTGAGAAGGGACCTCATGGTTTAGGTGGCTGCAGGAAGCTGCCTCTTCATTATTCAGCCAACAGAGTCCTGGGGAGAGCAGGGCTGGGCCACGTTCCCCTCAGGCTCCCACACTTCTCTGATGGAGCCACCACAGCAGCTGGACCCGCCTGTGGGATGGCCCTGAATTTGAACACAGTCAGTTCACAGGTCATATGCCCAAGGTCCTTTGCTTTCAAAGGTGGGAGATTATAATCCTGGGCAGGGAGTCTGCCTGGACAGACCGACACAGGACCTGAGATCCTGCCACACTGTGGACATGGGGTCTTCTCCTTGGGCAGCAGCTCTGTGGAGGACAGCGTGCTCCATCTGCATGATCAGAGCTGTCACAGGGGCACTCTCATAGTGCCATCCAAATGCCCAGTCACCCGGCCATGTGCTGCTTACTTTTAAGTATCACTTGTTTGACAAAATCAAATGCCAGTTACCAATTCCTTGGGATTTGTTATGATTCTGAAGTACAAATATTAGGGAGCCTCCATCCAGATAAATCAAAGATGAACAAGAAATGGTCTCTCTTCTTTCAGATTCCCGTAGTCTACAGAGACTAAATAGTGCCAATGGAAAGCAGGCTAGGAGAGGTGCTGCAGTAGAATCACCGACTTGTATTCATTAGGACTTGTGTTCAGCTTGGGTGAGAGACCCAAATACAGTGCCCTAAACAATAGAAAGCGTTGTTGTTCTTTCACGTAAAAAAAAATCTCTGGAGGCAGGCAGTCCAGAGCTGGTATGATTAGCTCCAAGATGTCATTAGTGACTTTCATCCTCAGAATCCCCTCATGATCACAAGATGGCTGCTCAGCTCCAGACATTCTGTCCACATTTCAGTCCAGAGAAATGAGGAAGAGAGCAAAAGATGCCTCCCAGCTGTGTCAGCCCCCCTTATACAGAGAACTTTTCCAAATGCACATCCCACCAACTTCTTCCCATACCCCACTGGCCAGAATTCAGTCCCAAGGCCATCCCCATAACACCAGGTCTTCATTAGTAAGGAACAAGAGGGCAGGGAATTTGAGTAGTCAATGAGAAATCTCTGCCATAAAGCACAAAATGCATCTTGGGGAAGACGGATTAATTCTGAATTCGAAGGTCCAGGAGTATTTCCTTGGGGGCCTGAGATTTTAGCTGGGCCTTGAGAAGCAGACAAATAAGGAGCTATATTGGGAGAAGGAAGTATAATGGCTTTCCAGGCAGAGAAAACAGTCTGAACATAGATCCAGTGGCTCAGGAGGGCCAAGAGTTTCAGTAGTCAGCCAAGTGACTGGAGTACCTAGGGCATGGGGTTCAGGACACACAACAAGAGACAAGAATGCTGAGCTAGGTCAAGATCAGTTTTACTTCGGACTAAAGTATGCAGGAGGAGGGTTTGGGGGATGGGCATGACACGTGTTTTAGGAAGCTTATTCTGGTTGCTGTACCAAGCTTCATCCTGAGGCAGTGTGCATCCTGGTCCTTTGGCTTCACATCCCAGGCCAAGCACCCTCCCCTCACATGGATCTCACTGGAAGCAACTTACAGCAGATCTAAGTCACCCAGCATCCCTAGGCCAGAGCCAAGAGGAGGACTGCATTCTCTGGGCAGTATGATGAGTCGAGCATAGAGACTGATTCTAGAACCAGACTTCCTGGGTTCGATCTGCCTTACCACTCACCTGTTGTGAGACCTTGGGAAATTTATGTAACCTCTCTGTGCCTCAGTTTCCTGATCTGTTTATGATCATGGTAAAAATAGAGCCTACTTCATAGAACTGCTGAGAAGAGGCCGGGCGCGGTGGCTCAAGCCTGTAATCCCAGCACTTTGGGAGGCCGAGGCGGGTGGATCACGAGGTCAAGAGATCGAGACCATCCTGGTCAACATGGTGAAACC